ACATTCTAAATAAAGAAAATGAACACTTCTAAGTTGCTATTTAAAATGTAAATTATTTTGAAATCGCTGAATGAAACGAGCTGAATCTGCAGATGGAATTGTCCTGTGTCTGCCGAGGTACTTGCTGTGACATTACTACCCCATGAATGGACTATAAAATACTTCAGTACCCTGGCCCTGCAGCCTGGAGATTGTCACATCCACATATCCGACCTGGCAGTGTGTTGCTACTTTGCTCCTTTATGAGGAACAAGTTCAAGGAGAAATGTCTATCATGTTTCACAGTAGCAGACCAGCAGTCTGGTAGGTGAGAAATGAGAGAAGCAGCTAAAGCAGCAACAGCTGCCCCGTGAGGAGCAAAGTAACGAGTCACAGCTGTAAGCCAGAGAAGGTCACCACAGGTCTCCCACTCAGTCAGAGCCAAGGTTAGATGGTGCCAGCTGACACAAGTGCACAAGAACCCACAGCGCTTCAGAGGATGAAAAATGGAGGGACAGGCCAGATGGTAAATCCAACCAAGAGAAACCACAGCAAAAGCTGCCCAAGCTATCAGCAGCCAGCACAAAAACTCTGCTTGTGACCTGTCTCTCTTTCCATGTCTTTTGGGGCATTTTATTTTGACCCTTTAATGTTCAGAGCTAGCATAACAAAACCTCATCTTCAGTTTCTCAAAGGCATGTCTGACAGCAACAAGAAGAGTGCCAAAGGGCCTTGTTACTGCTAAGTAATTCTGCTAAGTGAAAACTAGCAAAGACTATAATAGAAGAAGTTACTAGTGAAGCCTCAGAAAAGGAAGGTTGAATTAACTGTGATCTAAACAGAAGGAATATCAACTAGAGTACAAGCAGGAATACCAGCAGCTAGTTGAAATTTGAGCACATCCTTTGGAAGGACCTCAGACCCCTGTCCAAGCCCAAGGAGTCTGTGCCCGTGCATGCACATACACAAAACTGCTGTCACAACAGTCACTCCAAGGTACTCTAAGGCAGATGGAGCATCTGCTGTAGGCTGGGGATGGAGGGGAACAGCTTCATAGGAATGAACCAGAACAGCCCTACCAGAGGGTACATTGTAATTTAGGAGACAAAGCAGCATGGTAGGAGGTGTGGGGTCAAACTACTTTGTAGATAAACCAAAGATTATTCACTCTGAGCTGCTTGGTGGGTGAAGGCTACTAGCTTCCTTTATGATTGCTTTTGAAGAGACTGATGTAAGAAGCATCCAAAGGTGTTTAACCAAAGGAGGGATACACGCTGCTGAATGCTGTCTGCAGAAAAGTTCAGCTGCTGAAGAATGGTAAAGGCTTTGGAGCTTGCAGACTAAGATGAAACTGAGCAGAAAACTTATGAATATCTAATTTTGGGCCTAGAGACTTCTAAAGAAAGCTAAGAACACAAATTCTTTTTTAAACATAGCCCTCTGTGTGAAGAAAAGACATCACTGTAGCATATAATCAGATTTTGTGAAGGTTTTAGAGTTTACTTCTGGTATGTGGTACAGAATTTAAGCTGGAGAAAACTCCACAAAGAGTAGAATGCACTAGTGTAAAAATAAATGAGATCAAAATCTGCCCCACAACAGAAATACTTGTGTAGATTTAATATTCTTTGACACATTATGTAACACACCGGAGCAAAAGATTCAGTTGCTTCCAGGACTCTAAACAGTATGAAAATAGAGCTACTTTTAAAAAAGATTAAGAGATATTTTTTGTTAATTTGTAGAGTAAATTTTTATCCATCTGACCACTTGTATGGAAGTGCCTTATTCAAAGTAGAACTGGGCCACATTATCTTTTGTTTCAAAATAAATGTCCTTTAATTTTTTTCTGTGAAGGATATAAGGGTGGGATGAGGGGAAGATGAAAAATTATCACCAACCCTTTGAAATGTAAATTGCCTAATAAAAGATTATCAGTGATAACTGTTGATTTGTAGTGTGCAATGGTGCATCATAGAGATGGTTTTTGAAATGCTGATGCACACAAGTCTCTAAAATAGGTTTTTATTTCTATAGCCTGTCCAACAGATTTTGTCTTCCCTTCACTTTTCAAGTATTTCAGTGCACGCAAAAATTGGCAATTTATTCAGTATGAAAAATTAATTACTTTGAAAGAATATGTAAGTGATAGAAAGGAATGGTTTCTACAGTAAAGAGTAAAAAAACCTAACATTGTTCTCTAGACTTTGACTTGGAAGCATTCTAAGCAGTAAGACAAGCTTTCTAAAGTTCCTCTAAATTTTTTGAGATTTCAGATTATGCTAGCACTGCAGGGTTTCAGATATAAATTAAAGTTGTTTGAGTGGGAAATGAAGGAAGAAATGTCTTGCAAGAAACTGTTTTCTTTTCAGATGAATGTCAGTCTTCACAATAACACCACTGTTCATATCAAATGTTAGCAGTATGACCTGTTTTTGTTATTAAAATGTCTTATGACGATAGCAAGAGATGAAATTCTAATAGCAAAAAGTCAGTATTGATTTCCAGGTTATTGAAAATTTAGATGTTTGTCATTTGATTTATATGCATTGTTTAGTCGCACAGTGTTACTTCTGTCTTTGGGATTGTGTGCATTTTTGGTGTTTGCCAAGACAATTTTTATATGTTCTTCCAACGACCCCAGAGCAATTCTCCAATTGTGTTACAACAAAATCAGATCTGGGTGAGACTGAGCAGTAACATCACAACTTGGTGTAGGCTGGAGGGTTGGTGGGAGCAGTGGAGGTCCCATGGACCACCCAGGACCATTCTGCTGTCCCAGCCATGGTGCTCAGGTGTCCTGCTATGCAGGACAAGCCTTCTGTGCAACCAGCTACTTGACAAAAACCCCATCTAGGCCTCACAATAATGCTGATGCAGAGCCCAGACTCATTCATGGTGAAGTCAAGACTCAGGTGACGTCTGAGGCAAAGTGAAAATTTTCCAGGATAGAAATCCATTTTAATTTAGGTGAAATATACATTTTTGAGTTGAGTCTGTGTTAGAAACCATAGTTATTTAGCCAGATTGCAAGGCCTAAGCTCAGTGAAGTTACTTCAGTGAAGGACAGAGATAAAGGGGGCGGACAGAAGACAATAGAGAGAGATAGGGACTGCTGTAAGGGCAAGTCAACCTGACCTCGGAATTCTTTCTGATAAAAAGGAACTAGCGGTAAAAGTCACATGAAAACCATAAAAATAAATATGTATGAACCTATTGTGAAACTGTATGCATATATATTTGAGAGAGAGATATCAGCAGACCTGAAGTTTTCAGAGGTATGCATGCCTTTTGAGGAGAGCAATCTCCGCATGCGTCCAGCACTGTAATAAACATACCAGCTTTACAACTTTTACAAAGTTGTGAGGTCTCTTCTTTTCTCCACAAAACAATGTCCTTTCTCTCATCTACTTCAGCCCTTGCAGTCTGCTTTGGAGGAGTTTTATGTCAGAAATATATACAAGCAGGAAGAGAGAAACCTTTCAATTACCTAAGGAGCAAGTGTTAACTGAGTTGTCCTCCAAACAAGCTTCTGGGATTGCACCCTTTAGGTGCTCTCAGAGTGGGCAGCAAGCTTGCAATACTGAGGGTCAGCATGCCTGGGCTTTTCAGAGGCACTCAAACTGACACTGTTTTCATATTTAACACCTTTGGAAAGAGAGGGAAGAGCCTACATATGATAAACAGACACCAGCTAGTTCATTTGTCAGGTCTGGTGACAGTAATAGCAGACAGAGAAATAGCTTGTTTTGGGCAGGCTGTAAGAGTGACAAAGTGGGAGAGGAGGTCACAGCAGAATCAGCTGCACAGCAGACTCCCAGACCATGGTCTGGACTAGACACCCTGGTCTCAGAGTGAAGCTCTCTCAGAGCTGGATCCCTGCCTCACAGGGAGATCCTACAGGGAAGGGGACTAGTTAGGGTGATATGAGGACAGAGAAGGAAAAGAAAGTGGACAGAGAAGAAACTACCTTTTCACATGATAGTAGAGCTGATTTGGTCCACAACAGACATGGGATTCTCAGTGACAGAAATAACTTCTTCAGCAATTTCTATTGATCTGCTAAAACAACCCCTCTAAAACCCTATTATCGCAAAAATCTACTGCTTGGAAATTTCTCAATGAAATCTGCTGTAGTCTAGAAGCACAACAGATACAAGGGACATGGTGAACATGTACAGCAGTACCCTCCTAAAAATCCTTATTTTCTTACGCAAACTACTGTATTGTGTATTCCACTGCTGAACTCTCTAGTTTGAATCTGCAGGAAGCAGATTAAACAGATTCATTTCCATCCTGAAGTGAGGAAATTCTGGTACACTTCGTGCATTTACCTCAAGGTTCCTTTGATCTAAGGAACACAGAACCAAGTGCTTAACCTGTAAGAGAGTCCTCTTCTGCCTCCTGCTTAGAGGAAGGTACTACTGCTAGTCAGTGGCTACAGAAAACAAGATGAAAGTAGTGCAGAAACTCCCCAGTCTTCCACATATCACCCACAGTAAGCAAAAAATGAAGAAAAAAGCAACAAAAACTAACACAATTTTTTTAAAAAAATTCTTCCAAAATTGAGACTTTTTGAATAGGTACGACACATACCTGACACTACAAATAATTTGAAAAGACTGGGCAAAGTATTACATATTAAACAAACATTTCTAAGACACACTCTGACTAAATGTCAATTCTATATTTTTAAAAAAGAGTGATGATTGCATCCACGCTGAGCTTCTGAGTCCATGAAAGTTTTAAGATGGAGAGTTTAGTGTAAACTCATTAAAAAAAGGAAGTATTTTTCATATCTGCATGTCAGTATGTCACTTTAATCACCTAAACCTCTCTTTTCATATTCTTAAAACTGTCTTCCCATATATTTGAGTCATTTATGCACTATACCACAAAGATTTTGTTAATTAGAAAGAAAAGCCTAGAATTTCTATTATTCCTATGTAATGAATTATAGAGATTATTCTGCAACACAAAGAATAAATAAACCCATTTCGGATAAACAAATTTTACCTGATTTTTTCCTTGCTTTCTTCTACTGTGATATGACAGACACTTTCACAGAATTTCTGTTACAGAAATTTGGCTTTATTTTCTGGAAGTTCACCTAGCTTTGTTCCATTCACTCAGGCACAATATTATTGTTACTGGAGGTTTTGGTGATCTCTTTCCCACAAGGCAAATCTTGCCTTACTCTTGATACCTAGACGACATCCATTTAGGAAACACAAAAAATAGGTAGACCTGTGTGTTCAGGTCCAGAGGAGGTCCATTAAAATGATCAGAGGGTGAAACCCCCTTACAAGGCTGAGAGTGTTGGAGATGTTCACCCTAGACAAGAAAAGGCTCTGGGGAAACCTTCTGTGTCTGCCTTTCAGTATATAAAGATGATTTAAATTACAGTGAAAATAAACCTTATACTGATGCCTGTAGAGACAGGACAATAAGTTATGATGTTCAGCTGAAAGGGGGTAGATTGAGATTGGATATATTTTTTATTATGAGAATGCTTAGGCACTGAAACAGGTTGCACAGAGAGCAATGTGTGGATGTCCATCCCTGGAAGTGTTCAAGACCAAGTTGGACAGGCCATGGAGCAACCTGGTCTAATGGTAGGTGTTCCTGCCCATGGCAGAATGTTTGGATGATATGACCTTTAATGGTCCCTTCCAAGCCAATCTGTCCTGTGATTCTGTAACTTCGTGATAGACTTGAATCATACAACAGAATATTTTCTCACAGAACACTCTGCATGAGGAATCAGGGAGGTAAGAGCCAGGTTTGTGTATCTCCCTTCACACTGTTTTTCTCTGTAATGCATACCTTCTCTCCCCTGGTGCTTCCAGTCTTCTTGTGTCTGCTCCAATGATCTTTAATTCCAAGGCTGTCTCAGATGTTATTTCTTCTCTGCAATCCTGTTCTTTTACTGATCTTTCATTCCAGCCCTTAGTTCACTGCGTTTTCCTGGTAATCTTGACCACGTGCCATTAAGTGGCACAACTTCTCCCCCAATCCATTAAGTTTCTGTCCCACAAAGTGCTCAATTCAGATATCCAGCTTGGAGCATGATAAATACTGTGTAATTCAGCCTCTATGAATATATACACTGCTTATATGCTCAAAGTGAGCATACATTTCTGGGTTTGGCAGCCACAGTCAGTCCCATAAAGACTTACATCCATTTTTCATGGAACTACAAACAGCTCAGAGGAGTTTCTTCGCTTTTAGTAAACCTAGTCTGAAACTCTGAGTTGGTTTTAACCAACCATTCTGTGCATTGCAGACTTATACCTAAGAGCAATGAACCAGCGACCTAAGGAGGCTGGATATTATAGCTTGTCATTCTCACAGAAAGGCTTTCAGGTGCCTTCAAATCTGCAGCCCAACATGAAGCCAAGAAAAACTCTTTTCTCCTTTTTTGTAAAGACTCTAAATGCGGTAAGTCTACATTAAACCTTCTCACTGCCCTAAGTGATTTTTTTTCATTTATTTAAAACAGTATGCCAAATAACCAACCTAAAATAGGTATTAGATAGTTAATCTGCAGCAATAGTGGTTGTGGTGTGAAGAAAAGCTCATGGGTTACAAACCCTTCACTTTTCTGTTTCAGTAGTAAATTATGGCATCTTAACTGATGGTTAAACTGCAGCAGTACTAATTGTGGTGTCAAAAAGAGTTCAGAACTTATAAGCCTTTTATTTTGCTGCTTCCGTAGCAGACAATGGCATCTTAGCCCACTTCTAAGTGACACATTAGAAAATAAAGGGCTCCTTTATTCAGCATTTTTACAATAAACTGATGAATTCTCAAAAAGAAATGCAACCTTAATAGGTGTGTAAGTGATCATTATAGTGAAGCCAGCTTGTTAAGAATTTCCACCTAAAGGCATTTTCAACGTCAGTTTTTCTCTATTAGCAAATGTTGACTTTTTAATGAGATCACTGCTGCACTCTCTGGTGGTGCTATTTCAGTTTGCCTCTAATTATAAACTCAGTAGGTCACAACACAGCCTGAGGGGAATGCCCCTCCCCCCCTAAAAAAAACCCAAACAAAAAACCAACCAAAATCAAAATGAATAAGGAAAAATCTGCAGAGAACTAATTTTATCAATAGTCCCATTAAAAAATCAAATACAATCTCAAGGCTGAGAGAGAAACCAGCAGGGACAGCTTCACAGTTTCCATTTTATGCTGAAAGAAATACTAATATGTCCCTAGATTTATTATATTTAAACTTTGCACCCTTTGGTTTTTCACTTGCAGAAATATTTCACCATCACCTCAAACCTGCAGCACAGGAGTTCCAGTCGTAGGAAAATCCCTATCAGTCTTCCACAGTGAGGAGGAATGAGAGCAGATGTTTTAGCGTTGTAGGCCAGATGGAGATTGTGTTTCTGAAAAGAATTTACCAATTGCTTTCACATACATTGGTTCATGCCAAGGAGCAGGCTCCGATCAGAACAGCTATATTCCTTCTGGATGATGCTGGGAAGTTGATGCTTCCCACAGAACGACCTGGTGCCTTCCAGTAGACATTCAGGTCAGAGGATGAGACTAGTGCTGCTTTGAGACAACTTCACCACCACCTCCAGAAAATGTCCGGGTGCCAACACCAGTACCATGGCAACAACCTTGTTAGCTTCTGAGACACTCTGCTTAGGAGCTGAGGTGCAACACGACCACAAACAACTGCAGCTATGATGGCATAAATACAGCACTTGTAATCTTAAGCAGTTTTTCTATTCCTCTGGGAAGTACTCAGAACTTTTAAAACACAATTCATTAACAGCTTCCTTACAGAAGGAATAGTTCTCCTCACAGTTACACAATTATCAATAACAGTGAAAGACGGAATGATTACAGGGAATTATCAGTGAACAGCTCAAGAGCACTGTTTTATCTAAACCACCAGGCAAGGGGAGAGGGAAGAAGAGCAGAATAAATTGACTGTGAATATATTTAGACTGTAAATATGAAAAAGATATGTAACTCAAAAAGAGAAACTGAAAGCATCCCGGAAGTTGCTCTTATCACAATTTCTAGCCAGTTCAAATGCGGAGCTTGATCATGTTTTTAAAGGGATTACAGAAATAACTGTCTGCAAAATGGACTATATGTTCCAGTAAGTCTTTTTAACTCTCATTTTCTCCTAAGCTTGTCTGAGAGACATGCACTGTGGGTTAGATGGATACACTGTGAATATCATGAAGGAAAAAGATTTGTTCCCACCTGGATCCTTTATTATCACTGCCTCAGCAGGTGAGAATCAGCACAGTTCCTTCTCATCAAAGACTCCTTTGAGGCCTGGAAAGGAAGGACAAGACATTCTAAGCAAGCCTATAGGTCCCACTGTTTCTTACGTAGCTCTTTTCAATGCCTGTCAGTACAACAATAGATGCTTATGTTAGAAGCATCTCTAGTTTTTATGGAAGACTGGCAACCAAAATCATGGTATTTTAGCATATATACAGAAGATTACATGGTTATTTATCTTAATATAATAAGATACTAATTTTTACATAAAAACTCTTCAATTTAATGTGGCAAACACCACTGCTGTGCAAGCAGCCAGAAATGTGCTAATCTGCTGATAGTGAGGGCTTACAATGATAGATGTAGCTGTTTGAAATTCAGAATTTCCCACTCTATTCAAAGGGCTGAGAAATGTTTGACAAAAGGGAAAGGCTACACTATTTTCTTATTTGAAATGTACAGATAAGTGAAAGAATAATGCTCCTTCACTCTTACTGCAGAATTAATAATGTTCTACTCTGGAGATGGGAGAATCATTTCCCTGGGGTATGCCCAGGCCCAACACTGTCCTGTCCAAAGTCACGGAACAAACTGACATCAGAAACCTCATTGTTATCCTCGAGTAGACAGCTTTCCACATACTTTACTTCCCTGCGGTTGATTCCTTTTTAGTTCATTTAAGACTCTCTCTGATTACTCACCACCAATCCTTTATCACAGGTCTTTCTTTAGCAATGTCAGGCATTCAAGTCGGCTAGTGCTCCACAGGAAACAATTCCAGGTCATGTCAGACAGGAGAAGTGGGGCAGGTGGACAATCCTTAAATAACAAAAAACAGAAGGCTGCAAACTTATCATCACTGGGAAAAGGTTTGACACAGCAGGACAGAAGCTTCTGACAAAATACATTTGAAATTATCTTGTACATTCTGTAATCTTTGTCCTGTAAACGCTGGTCATGAAAATGATTTGTACTTGGATTCATCCTGAAGTACAAGTTTCTTGTATTTTAAATGCCTCAAATACGTGACTCTTCTTTTTTCAAGAAGGGAAATATTCTTTAAAAAAATTAAGAACTTTTTAGCACTATATGAATGTGATGAGAAGTAAAAAGTCATTTGTAGGAATGCCTTTCAGACTTCGTATTTAGACACGAGGCACTTAAATAGAAACTTACTGGCAAACATGCACACTCTTTGCAAAGAGAAACAAAATGAGAAACAGCTCATTGAGCCATTTCTCATCAAAATGAGAAGGGAGAAAAGATATCTCTTCAGATTTAGCAAATCCAGCACAAACTTCTGCTAATGACACCATCCATTTAATTGAAGCCAGGTCACAGACTGGGGCCATATTTATCATTTGCACCTGGAAATAAACTGAGAAGATAAGATGCAAACAAAAAATCAGTGGAAATTTTTATCTTATCTCTCAGTACAAATCCAGAAAAATAGCAAGTGTCTGTGCTTTCAAGATGCCCACAGATTCTAAGAGGCTTGCACTCTTTAGAGTTGCCACAGAGGCAATCCTTTGTCTATCCAGAGAAAAAGCCTCCATACCCACAATAACAAAAAATTGTATATATAAACACTTTATTTCATTTTTGACATGAAGTGTCTGAAGAACACAGTTTTCTGTAGAGATAGACATCCTAGTTATACTAAGATTCATCACTATTAAGGAGACTATAAAAAATAATTTCAGACTTACTTTTAATTTAACCATTCGTAGTTACTGCTTAGATCTCCACTGACATTGTCTCAAAGAAAACTTTTCAAGTTTAAGGACTGAGGGAGAGATTTTTTCCTTCCTCCTTTTCTGCTAAAGAGACTTTTATGAAATAATCTCCCTTATCATGACAAATACTAGGCACGGGGTGCTGGAGTTATGGAAACTGCTGCAGAGGACTTACTGAAAGCAATAGCCTGTTGATCTGATGAGTGTCTAAAACTGACATTAAAATACTCCCTATGGAGAGGCAGAGAGAAATCAGAAAATTGCTGCAGATACTTCTTTCTGAAAAGAACTTGTCAGCTGCACTACTGGTCGCTTCATGCAATGTCCATCAGTGACAACACATATTTTTATCTAGGTTTCTTTCGAAGATGGCAGTACAAAATAATACAAATATTTTATAGATTTATCAGAGCTGTGATGCCCCCTATACCTGTGGTGCCCCCTATAAAAGCCAAAACCTAAAGTCAAAAGATCTGCCAAGTACCTCAGTCAAGTTTGTTACTTTCTCCTACATTGTATTTTGCACTATTTAAGCTTGTTTCCCTTCCAACTACGCCTCACCTACACCTCAACATTAAATTAAATTTTTCAATTTTTGTGCCAAAACTGATGCAAAAATTTAGCCAACACACTTAAAAAAGTAACCCTCTGAGCCTATGGGAAAGCTTGGTCAAGGCTGAGCAAAATAAAAATAGGAAATCATGGTTACAATAGAAGCAGAATTTTGTGTCTAAAAGAGATCTGGAAAATAATTAGCTGGCTAAGACAGAGGAAAAGAAGGATATATAAGTGGTTTGAAATTCAGCTGCCAGATGTGAAAGGTGGGAAACAAGAAATGAACAGAACATGATGCTCACTCACTGGACAAGAAGCTCAGGGAATAATTCCTCCAAAGAGAGATTTGTAGTACATTCGATGGGTTCTAACAAGGGCACCTGGGAGTCCTTGGTGTTAGTGAAAGTTTTGACACAGAGATCAGAAGCATCTGAAGTTTGATGCCTGGAGGCCTGGAGTTCCTCTCGAGAGTGCCTGTTTTTACAGTAATGAAATTACATTGTTGGAGCAGAGATCAGACCATTGCATTTTTCTGAACCAGCAGAAGTAAGAATATCTCTGGTGAAAGTGAAATACTACTTCAGTGTATATGATACTGTATATATAATATAAAGTATGCTTAAGTGGCTGTTGTTTACTCTTTACTTCACCATAATTTTAATTTACATCAGCCATGGCACACAAGGGTCATTCATATCCAGCAGTGAGCCAAGACATCATGTTTGGTGCCAGTTAGGACCTTTTCAAGACTGCAAAGAGCTGCCAAGAACTGCAATAGGAGGAAGTTCATTCGTGTCCAGCTCACCCACTCTCTGCTGCAAAAAGTTCTTATCTCTCCACTGGGAGAAACATTTACATTTTTGCTGTAATAAATACTGGTTTAGAAATTCTGGATGGATTTTAGCACTTTAGAGTAAATTCATAGTATTTGTATACTCCTATTGTCTCAGATTATTTTAGTTGTAAGGGTCCCTATCAAGATAAAAGACTATCCTATCCATTACTTAAATTCAAGCAGAAATAAGATTCCATTGTGACTAAGACTTCTTAGAGGTTGCAAGGTTTGGATTAGGCATTAGACGCCTGCATTAAGTGCCTCAGTTGCAGACACCTCCAGTGTGTCTAGAGAATGACCCAGCAGTGTTGCACAATTGCCATAATGTTATATATGTGGATGTTTTCTACACTAAACTAGTTCTGCAGCTCGAGGCAGGCTTCAGTCTGCTCCCTGTTCAGTTGTCTCCTTTGGAGGTAAGATGAGCTGATGCCCACAGGTCAGTACTGCTCCCTGGTCAGAACACAGGGATGCAAGAGAGTGAACAGCAGCATCAGCACACACAGACGTCTTCCTGCACTCCTAAAGCCCAAAGACATTTGCCGAGACCTCAAGCAGTTTACTGTAGGCTGTTTAGCAGGAATGCAACAGACCATGGTGCTGGATCTGAATCCCATTTGGATGCCATTTTATAATGAGAAGCATCTAAGTAGTTATTAAAACCAGGGGAAAAAGGAATTTAAATACCATTATAATTTGCTCCAGTAAAGGCAAGCTGTAACTGCAAGTATGTGTCTGACAAAATACATTGTGCAACACATTGGTTTTTAAAATTCTCCAGCTCTGACATATTTCTAATTAAAGGAAAATTTATAAATTTCAACAACTTCAGTCCAAAATAAGATTTCCATTTCAGAGAGATGGAAGTACCTGTGTCCCTAAAATAAAATAAAATAAAAAGTAAAATAATGTTCTTCAATTTCGATTATAACAGTAATGAAACAAAATAACACTAGTGCAGAGTTGTCTATACTTTCCAAACATTTTAAAAAATAATGAAATCATAAATGGGTGAGGAAGAGTGAAGCAAAGCAAAAGAAGATAAAAGGCTGTGTCATACGCAGGTGTCCAATGTCTGCAGTTAGGGTATCTAAAAAAGAGTAACAAACACCAGAAGGGGAAGGGGGAGAGAAAAAGGAAAATAAGATATGTCAAACAGGATCACAGACACTGAGCTTGAAGACGAAGGGGCAGGAGGATGTGTCCCATGTCAGAGCAGGTGTACACTCTTCAACCCACGGAGATGAGCTCATGCTGTAGCAGTACATGAAGGAATTGAATTCTGGAGTGAATTCTGTGTGAAGAACCCATGCTGGAGAAGGGAATTATGTCAGAAGGAAGCCGTGGCTCTGTTACAGACATTAGAACCCTAATTCCCCATCACCCTGCACTGCAGAAAAGCGGTTGAGGAGTGAAGCTGAGCCTGGTGCAGGGGTTGGGGAAAGAGGTTATTTCAATTTTTGTCTTTGTATCCCACCATCCCACTCTAACTTTAATTGGCAATGAATTAAATTAATTTAGTGCAGGTTGAAAATGTTTGGATCGAGCCGGTATTGGTTCCTGAGCTTTTCCACTCTCTGTTCTCCCCGTGCCATGGTGAGGCGGTGAGAGAATGGCGCGGCTGTGCCCACCACGGTGACTCACTGAAGGTCACACAACAATTCACACGAGCAAAGCCAAGAACAAAAACTGTCTCTCTGGTTTTCCAGCCCCGTCCATGTTCCTGTCAGCCAGGTCTCCAGCCTCCCCCACAGCTGCAGGAGAAAAGCTCAGCTCATACAGAGTTCCAGAGGAAATAGTGACAAGGCACACTGAGCAGCCAAGGAGAGCACTGAGGCTGTGACTAATCCCTGATTTCAAAGGAAGAATTGTATTGGCATAGTACCACTGGGGCTTAAGAGACCTCGCAGTTATTTCAGTAAGTACTTTGGCTCTGGCCACACCAATAACATTTCATGCAAATAGCATCTGCAGAATGTCAAGGCATGTCAGTATCATATTACATTATTTTTACGCTCAGGTTTGTTTTCTGCAGTTTGCTGTAAACACCCAGTTGTTGTAGAAAGCAAACTTTGCATAAAAGAGTAGGGAAAATTTCTTTTTTTCTATTAAAATTTTCACATATCTTCTAAACCATTGCCATTCTCTGACTTAAGATACAGAAATTTTCAATTTTTATGACAAAAAGCTGAAAAGTATATTCAGTCTGAATCAGAAAAGACAGAAAACTAACCACAAAATAAATTGACAAACAAATTTATATAGTGATATATAGATATATTTAGCATTACCCTAATGGAATTTCACCAATATACCTACAGCAAGTATTTCTGTGGCAGAAACCCTCATATTTATACAGCATTTTGGAACTATTCCAATTTATATTGAAAATGTTGCATTCATACTAGACGAAAACACAGGGGTGTTTTTTTCCTACTCTCTAGCCATTAGCCATGCTAGTTGTGCCTGTTCTGATTCAATACATTGTCAACAACCTCCACAAAATGCCCTATCGCCATCTGTCTGTATGGATACATACAGGGCTTCCAAAGGAGCCTGTAAATACCACAATGGCATGGACAGGTCTTCCGGTCTAAGGTAATATTTTGGCTTTTTTGATCTGTAAAAGAGAGGCACAAGGACAAAACAAGCATGAATCTACCATGGCACTCAGCTGCAAATGGTCAACAACCACATCAGTTGTCTAATTTTTTTCACATTTCTGTGCAAGAAGAGACAAACTCACTTACTCTGCTAAGCCAATTGTCAGTCACTCTTTATGATTGCCACATAATTTCAGGATCTGTTTGTTTTAACACCTTATGCCCTACTATTAGGGCAAAAATGCTTAAACATCTTTTCAAGGTGCACAGGTGACACCAACTTATCCCATGACAGACAATAATATTAAAAAATTACAATTTTCTATTAAAATTACACATTTATGACAAAAAGCCAAAGTGTTCAAGTGTTGCAATGAAAGTAACACATAAGAAAAAAAGAAATTTTGCACTTTCTTTTCCACAAATAAAAACAACCACTTAATTTTTTAGACATGTGTTTATATAAGGCACCTGCAGTGCAAGGTTATTACAAGCAATGAGATGCTGTGATCTCCCTCATACTGTGAGGAAACATCGGCAGAAACTTTAAAGATATTGGAGTATTTCTGTGGGTGTGTACTGGGATATGCAATCAGGACAAATGATCTCTCACACAATTTAAATATGTTAAAATGCATTCTCAGGAGATTAATAACAAAAGTAATCTTAAAGCTTTGATCTGGTTAGAATCTTCAGGCTATAGGCTTTGATTTGTACCTCTATATAAGAGCTATGAATTAGAAAAGGCCATAGAAAAGTGGAAACAAAATCAAAAGAAATTTGGCTATGATGAGCTTCTGCTGAGTTTACAAAAGAGAATGCATAGCCAAGACTTAGATAAGAGAATAATGTTGGAGTATATGCTAATGTGTTGAAAAAGATCTAAATTAAATAGTGATGAAGTTTTCACAGTAAAAGCGAAAGGACAGCCATCAAAACTGAACCTTGCAAGTAATGCAATTACGATAATGTCATCTCATTTTGAATTTAAACAAAACAATATCAATTGCCCAAACACCTCCAGCAAAAAAAAAAAAAAAAAAAAAAAGAGAAAAATAAAGTGGCTCCTTTCTATTTCATTCATAGAAGTTCCTACAAGGTGAGTTTTGACCTTCCTATTCACAGGTGAAAAGAGGGGAGGGGCGGAATCTTTCAAAATTTTTGTCTTTGTTCTTTTGAGTAAAATACAAATTGCATGGTGGCACATAAAATAAAGGACAAGTTTTTCAATCAGTCACTTCACTTCTGTTCTATCAAATTATACTGTGAATTCAGATGTGACTCTATCCCCAAATACTGCTATAATATAAAAGCCCTCTGGTCATTATTTGAAAGCCAAGAAATATCTAGGTTTGAGAGATGCTGGTGATCCAATAAAGCTATAGAGCAGTGGTTTTACTTGCATTGAAAAGCACTACACAACCCAGCTGGCCCTGCTCACCTCAGTGTGGAGTGGAAACACATACTTGGAAAGGGAAAATTTTGCATCCTCAGTGAAAGCGTGCTCAAATGAAATAAACATCAGCTATCTGAGGATTTAGAAAAGCTTAAAGAAAAATCAATTGATCAATATTAAAAAGGGGTAAAGAAAGAGATTAAATAGTGTTATATAATCTGATCTCTCTTGTTTGAAGCTTTTGCCCCAAAAATTATTCCATCTGTTGAATGCAACAAACTGCCGAACCCTGTTTCCCTAAGCACAAAGTAATTTCACAGCTTACCTGTTGCATGATGCTTTATCAGGTCACAAAGTCCTCTTTTAGTACCTTCTCTTTCAGCTGTAGGGATCAGCAAGGCTGCCCTCAAAGGATTCTTCTTGCTCCTGCAGTGGTGGTGACTGACCACACACTGTGACCTTCTGTACCATTCATGGTCTTCTTCCCTGTGCTTGTGTCCCTGTGAGAGTGGGAGGGAGTGTGAGAGGCACAGGACCTGTGAGCTTATCTCACTCGCTCACTCACTCACTCACTCACTCACTCTCCATTTCCAGGTGAGTCACTGTCCTGTCCCTTCCAATTGCGGAGATCTAAAGTCAGTAAAGCAGAAGATGAAGAAGAAAATAATCATTTGTGCACAAGGCTGAGGGCATAAGAGGAAATATTAATACAATCTTCCAATCCATAAAGCAACCACTTTTATAGTCAGTCAACTCTTGCTGCTGAGAGGAACTGGGAAAAAAGCAGAGAGGAAATTTGGTGCTTACAGGAGAGATATCTGATAGGAAAACAGCTTATTGAAGAGATTGGCTATAGAAAAATTTGCATGACAGACAGCCTGAAGTGCCATTTTCCTTTTGATTCCCTTTCTTTCTTTCTTCTGCACACCTGGATGGAAAAATAATGTACAGCTTGTTGCCTTTATGTTCCCAAGAGATGATGTCTATTTGTCTTTTAACCCAGCTACAACAAAGAAGCCCTTCAGGAATAAATTTTTTTGTTCCCTTTTCTGTTTTTGCAGATTAATTTTGTATTTTAAATGTCAAAAGCATATAAAGTTTTTAATAATTTCAGATATACAAAAGATAATTTAATTACAAAACTTTTCCTTTTTCTTTCAAATAAAAGTTTAACTTGCCTTTTGGTAATTCTGCATTTCTGTCTTTTCACTGAAGGAAGGTCAGTCATAAAGGCGTTGTGACACTGAATGTCAATACTATATTGAAAGAGGCAGTTTTTTTCCTTTTTATCACTCTTCTTATGTCAAGTGTCCTCAATGATTTTAGTGGAGCTTCTTAATGAATGGAAATTCATTTAGTGAGCAAGGAGTGTGAGCTACGCAGAACCTGGCAGTGAGCAGTTATTTAAAGCTAAGTGTTGGTTTGAGGTCCAGAGGCCAGTCTGCCATTCAACCCAAAGCGAGCTAATCAAGCAGAAACACTTCATCAGTTTTAGCAAAATAATAATCAAGATTGACAAGTGAAATAAATGATCTTTTTTGTCTCAAAAATGTCAGTTAGTTCTTCACTATCTCAACAACTGAACCTTTTGTTCATTTTATTCTGGATTTCACTGAGTTTTGTGATTTCTCTCTTCACTTAAACGTGCTTGGCATGAAGTCAAATCCTGTCAATATTGAGCAAGGTGGAGCACCATTACCTTTCAAAGAAGACACAGACAACTTTGTGATGGAAAAACTTAACATAGCAGTGCTTAATGACACTGTTTCAATAAGTCATGCAGACTTGTTTTTCTGCTTTTAATGATCATAGGTTTCACTTCTCACAGTAATTCACAAATGCATTTCTCCGTGACTCCAAACAATTTTCTGTAATTAGAAAATAGAAAAACATATTTTTTTCATCACTGTGGATACAGTTTTTCCAGCATGAGAAAAAAAATTACTAATGTTATAAGATTGATCCCTTCTAACTTTTCATTAAGCTTTGCTTTTTTCTTAATTGCCTGGTGTTACTGTCATTTGAAAGAGTAGTGGATATTCAGAACACATCTCAGTTTCATGTCTCATCACACATCTTCATTATCAAGTGGGATGGTGGCCTGCCACTGTTATGCTGAACACAATTTGGAGATGATCACAGATGGTCACGGAATCTGCACATGCAAATGAGGAATGAATATTGTGGTCTGTATCTTAAAGTGTACTTTAAAGTATTATTTTGCAAAGATACTTTGGAAAAGACATCTGGAGCACAGAGTTCTTCAGGTACAAATATTAACAAATATTAACAAAAAAAGCTTGGTATTTTAGTTCAGGACCCTTGGTTCTGACAGGACTGAAGGCAATATAATATAAAAGTGTTAGTCAGAGCTGTGGTTTAACCTGGCAGGGCAATAAGCACCATACAAATGTTTGCTCACAGGGGGAGAATTGCGAGGGGAAAGAAAATAGAACTACTCAGGATTATGTCATATGGTGTGGAATATCCCTTTGGCCAGCTGGGGTCAGCTGTCACAGCTGTGTTTCTTTCTCAGATTCTTGGGCACGTCCTGGCTCCCTGCTGGCAGAGCAGGAGGAACTGCAAAGTCACTGATTTACTGTAAGCACTGCTCAGCAACCACTGAAACATCACTGTGTTAGCAATGTTATTCTCATACTGAATCCCAAACACTGAGCTATGCCAGCTACTAAGAAGGAAATTAACTCTACCCCAGCTGAAAGCAGGACACCAACATAAGAATTATGATGTGCAAGTGCCTACAGAAGAATCCCATATTATTTTAAAGAGAGTGCAATACCTGCAATACTCCCTTGAAATTACGTTGCCAAATAATATGCCACATTTCTTGTAAATGTGTCTCAGTTCACAAATTTTTAGGCAAAAAAAGCTTTACTTTGAATAATTATTAATACCATTCTGCTTATTCTTTTTGTATGGTGAATGATGCATAGAAGAACTGAAAAGAAATTGGAAAAAGTGGTAGGCTCAAAGGAATAACTACTGTATTAAAGGGAATTTAATGAAGAGACTGAGAAATGGGCAGAGAAAGACAGCTTCAACAACTTGGTTCTCCATGCAAAATCCACACTATCATATATTTTCAGAGAGCAGTTTGTCTAACTAGCCTCTGTACAAAAAGTCAAAAGCACCTAAAATTATAAAGTGTGTCCTGCTATAAAATATAATTGTTTCTTTGCAGAATGTATTGCTCTCTTCCCATCCTTCTCTGCGGAGAACTTAAGAAATCATCGCTGTTCCCTCATAAGACACATTTTATGCTTGGGGCAGCATCGTCCAAGGACATTCTCCTTGTTTCTCTCTTTGTGACTCTCTGCACTGTTCTTTCTTTCTTTCTTTCTTTCTTTCTTTCTTTCTTTCTTTCTTTCTTTCTTTCTTTCTTTCTTTCTTTCTTTCTTTAAAAAGGAGCACATCCTCCAGTAGAGTGGGTAGCTCCTCAAAAAACACCACTGTTATTTCCCCTAATTCTTTAAACCCACACCAGTAAAATACCAAAAAAGAGTGCTTGTCTTTTTAAGGCTGTCATTCATGTTATTTTTTGAATGCTTGACTGCCTTTTAAACATTTTCTGATCAGCGACTGAAATCACTAATAGCAATACCTGTTTACTCAATGTCTGGGAGAGACCACCAAAAGAACCTCAAAACGTGACAATCAGAGAATGACTGATTTGTAAGTCATTATATTTTAAGTAACTGTAAAGAGTGTCTTGCAGAGTACTCTAAGTCTTGGTATGAAGTCAGCACAAGCCAAATCTTGCTTCACTTTCTTCCGTAGTAAGCAAGCTTCTTTGACAAAGAAGAAAATAATATTAAACTGACTATCAGATCTTAAAAATATTCCTGCTGAATTATTCATTCTGTTAACTTTTTTAATTGGCTGATTGAATTTATTTATCACAAGATTTACACTTCAAGTTTTAAAAAATTGCATTATCTTTATTACAGATCTTTCCAAGGATCAGAGTTAGGTTGATCAGCCAATACTTTTCTTGTTCATCGCTCCTAAAAGAAAAATGCCATGTCATGGTTTTCATGAAACTGACTAGATAACTAATCTTAGTTACCTAATCAGTGACATAAAACAAAAGATCGTCCACAGGGAGTGGCCTTCTTTTGCCATAATTGAGCAGCAAAAAAATGCTGGAGGATTGAAATTTTTTTGTTGATGGCAGTTATTTTACTATTAATAGATAATATATTTATATGATTATACAATGGAATTGTTTGTTCATCTGAGTTATCATAGCCATTAAACCTTAGACAGTGTATTCAAGACTTGAAAAGAGTAAATAAACTCATTCATTTATGTTTAGCTACACAAACATATAGGACAGTAAACAGAAGAGACCAGACTGATGAGGCATGAACTATGTCCTTCAGCCTCCTGCTCAGCAGGTTACAGTGGACAAATCTCATGCCTCCTGCATAAGTGCTAGGGAAGGACCTTCACCTCTGATCCTGTGCTGCTCTGCTGCTTGCCTGCTTTGGCTTGCATGTGGATCCCATGCCCCCTGTCCTCCTCTGCACTCTGAGAGGCAGTTGCTGCTCTGTTTGCCTCTGGCTTTGCCAGCTGCAGCATCCAGCCGAGGACGTGGAGAACACCGTGGCTGTCAGTGTGTTACATATCGGGGGGTTGGTAAAGAAGCAAGTAGCAGCCTTGCTCAAAACCTTGTAATAAATCCAGGAAAGCAGATTACGACAATGCAGAAATAAATTTATTTTAGATGAAGATAACGTGTTCTCAATATATTGCCGTGTTCTAAATTTACATATGAGGATAAACAGTGAAGGTTTATTGACAAATGAAAACACCTCTGTTTAGTGATAAAAAGAGATGAAGTCAAGGAGAAAGCCTCTCATTCACCTAAAAAAAAAAAAAGGTGCAATTCTGGAAATATAATCCTCTAAAGTCAGATAAGAAGCAATCTAATGTAACTGTCCAAATCAGTAAATACCTCTGCAAGGAGACACAAAGAGACCAAAGCACAATTAAGCCACAGGTCAAAGGAGGCCCAACTACCTTCATCCAACTGAGGGCAAAGACTTATTGAGAGACAGACATAGTGAGAATAATTGGAATAAATTTGGACCATTTAAATAAAGAAAGGAGCAAGAATGTAATGGGAGTAAATGACTGGGACAAGACAAAATCATGTATATCACAAACCAGATAAAAATAATTTCTTTCTTACAGTTTGATAGACATCTGGGACAAGAAGCCACAAGACAAACACAAACATCAAACAAATTAAGAAAAAAATAAAAATAAAAGCCCATAGATTTGGTGAGACTCAGAAAGGCTTAACAATGTAGCTAATGAGAACATACATATGTTAATGAAAAAAAAAAAAGCAGATTTGAACTTGCTATTTTTCAAGGAAAATTATTACTCCAGTAATTACCCATTGAGTAATCTCTGGAAATTTTCCCTAAAACACTGATAGCAGCTACTATGATAGAAAGACTAGACTGGATAAATTATTCCTCTAGTCCAGAATGGCAATTGCATTCCACTGTAAGGGTAATCTTAGTTCTGTTCTGCAGTTGTATGCTACTCTGTTTTCTTTTTTCTGGACATCACCACTCTCAAATATTTTTTTCTATTACTTCCTTTTTGTTTTCAACTGGGTTTGGTATCGTGCCATGTTCCAATCTTCCAAAAAAACCCCAAACCAAAACCACAACAATAAGGCAACATTAAAGCAGAGACACAAATGAAAAATACCTATATATGGGCTATATATTGTGGCAGCAGATGAATGAGA